GACGTTGTCTGGCGTAACTACGAAAAGTCTATCAGTCTAATATCAGCACAATGGACAAAAGCTGGCTACACCATCACAACTTAGAATTCAAAGAAGCTCATCAGATTTCATTTGTTCATCTGTAGGAGAGTTTTTCCGAACAACAATCAATGAACTAGAAACTAACTATTCTCCTTCTCCAGATGTATTATTTTGCACGTAATCAATTATTGTTTGTCATGTTAGACTGTTTTAAAAATATCAAATTTATGTCTCGCTTTCTTTTTAGTTTACTTATCTGTTTAACTGACTTATCAGCGTTTCATTCAGGAATCTGTTCGTGTATCTAGTTCTGCTACATTGTGCTATACAATTAGTTGGTTTTTTTAATAAACTCGATTACTAGTGTAATTCCTACACGAATGAGAAAATCAGTCGTACATGTTCGCTTCTACGAGAAACGTTTGAACGAGCAATAAGTGTAAACGAACGGGTGGAAGATAGTTTAGGTTCAGTGAAAGACATTATGGTTTAACACAATCATGAATTTCTGAGGTCTTTAGGGCGAAATTGTCTATCCACGCCGAATTCCGACTAGATGGATTGTTTGCTGGATCAGTGTGCAACTGGAGGATCAGATCGATGTTGCTTAGCTCATTTTCGCATAGGTCTCGAGAGATACTCTGTAGTACGATCGTACCAGTCGTAGACAGAAATATTGTGTGGTATTGAGAAACCGCTAATTTGGAAAATGTGAACAAGGATGATACCAATGAATTAGCATGTTTGGAATAAAAGCACGTGAGGTTGGGAAGTACCGTTTATGTTTTTGACTAGCCTTTCATGCATTAGATCCTACATAGACCATCGGGATCAGTTGCATCTTCTTCATGCAAACAAATTTAATTTCGCGACAAAATGTTTTTTCTTCTGTATGAGCCTCGCATTCGCAAAGCTGCCCTTGTAAAAGCTTCCGGAGAAGTATTTTTCACTCGGTTTTTTAACTGAGTTTGGAATCTGAGTCCTCGGGCTTCACCAACACTAATTTTAGGAGCTAGGTTAACCTTGTTGTATGTCGTTTCCGTCTGTCGCTTATTCGCGCATACCAATGCGGTTACTTGGGCAATCAACATAAGATAAAAACAGACAGGTCAATAGGAGGAGAGAAAAGTGGGAATAGCGCTCATTCGTCATCAAACTCCTAGAGTCCTCGTTTTTGGACATGCTACTCGATTTAACTCAGTTCAGTTCATATAATCAATACTTTTGCGCAATAGTTTACCGTTTGTGCCAGTTCAATTGGAAAACCGAAATTTGAACTTTTACAGGAGTACCCTTAGCTAATTCAACGTTAAAATCAAACACTGCTGGGTTAAAACAAGCACCGGTGTTCCATATCGCTTCGAATAGGGCATGATTTGCCTGTTAGATAATATTGCACTTGCGCTACCACTGAGATTCAGCAACCGTATTCAATTCACTTGCCCCTCGTCTATCATAGGAGTCTGATTCCAAAACCCGTGGTCGATGAAATTTCGCAAAATAATAATCTTTGATTCATTTTATCAATTTCGTTGTTTGAATCTTTCTCTTTCAAAGCATTTTAAATCCCCACAAACTCATGTGTCGTAATATATTAAGAACTCCACCATACAAAATCAAGTATATTTTAATTAAAGGTCCGTGTCAAAGTGAGACCGTAATATGGTGAAGGATGACTGTACGCAGATAGGCAGCAATGCTTTCTTAGCAATCTCCTTAAGGTTTACACTATGATAGAGAGCGTCCCTTTGCTAAATTTCTTTGGTTAAAAGTAGCTTGTGGGGTTTGAGCTGAACCAACAGTTCCCTTTTTGTGACTTCAATACGTCAAGAGTTCTGTGTTTTCAGCTAATACTCCTTCCGGTCGGTACTTATGAGGTTTCTTCTGTTTTTTATGTGTAAACCGTGTCTTTTTAATCGTTAACAATATTTGAAATCGGAACAGTACCAACGCTTGCCAATTCGGCAAGATTTACTATTGAATATAATGGAGACTGAACGGTGTGAAATGGGATTGGGGCAATAAAAAAGTCTCTTCCATTTTCATCTTCTCAACTCAGTCATCGTCACTCGTGTAATTAGTTTTGCTTCCATTTTAATACATTTTTTCGGATATTCGTCCTCCTCCGAGCTTCAACTGTCAGGTTGGAGAAAGGATCTGTTTATGTTAGCTTTCAATCTGCTCCCTCTACTACACCACCACATCGTCCGTTCCTGCTTCGCTCGATAAGCGCGATCGATTTGCGGTGGGAGGGTCAATTGGTTGATTATTGCAGCTTGTTTTCTTCCTACAATGGACGGTCTAGTGTAAGCAAATTATTTAAAGATCAGTCACCTTCCACAACCTTTGTTGCATATTGTCATACTTTAGACGTTTTGTCATCAAACGTACGACGGTGTTTTTTAATCCCTAAACACTCTGTGGTAAGATTAATATCAATCATTTGCCTATTATTATCATGATTGTTATTTATTGTGCCAATCAGGTGACTTAGGAACCCATATTGTACGAGGTTTTAATATTACATCAGCCTCTGATCCGGGGGACTAATGAAATTCAATTCAGTGTTAATCTATAAAAATAAACGTATTTTACTTCCTTTTTCTATTTATTGAATATACAAATGTACAGTCAACTTTCAGGAAGGAGCTGCTGCCATGCAAAAGCTGCCTGGGGAAAACAGAGGTACAGGGAAGACAGGCGGCGGTGGAGCGGTTTGAACCCGGGACACCCAGGTCACTAGTTGGTGACCTAACCACTTGGCTACCACCGCCAGGCCATAGAAGATCTTTGTGCTTGGGTTGAACGAAGCGTACTGTGCACTGAGACATTTGGCGGTGGTAGTGCCTCGTGAAGACCACTGATAATGACCATGGCGATTGCAATCACCATAAACCGTCAGTTATAAACTATAAGCTCGCGACTTCTGACCAAACCCAATGAATGAGTTTCAGTGTATGGTATGCCCAAACTCTTTTTTTCAATTTTGTTGCTCTAGGATAGAGCTGCGCACCCTGTCGGTGACAGTTTATGAGGTGCGTTGCAGCCAGTATTCACAAAGGTTTGGAAGTAGGGCTGGCGAGACTGATGGAGTTGGTATAGCTCTAACAGCCTTCTCTGTATGACTGCTATAAGTTGTAAATTACTGAACCAATCTCGGATTAATTGTACCTCGATAAGCCCAAAGTTCTGTACCATATCTATAGCGTCTCGTGCAAATGTTGTTTATTCCCTGAGCCACATTTTCTCCTGTTGTGGATCTCGGTTAGCCATCAAAGGCTTGCAGAGCGCCCAGCTCCTCCTCTTCCCACCCTTCACCCCAGAATAACCTCACATAATCACGTACAAATGTGGCCACCCGTTCGCGTGATTAAACACAGTAATCTCATCTGAGGGACAGCGATATAAACGGTGAACATTATAAATGAGATGCATTCATCACGAACGTTATCTCATTCTTCCCCATGAAACACCAACAGGTAGAAGTTGAATGTAGTCTCGAACTTTTAAGGCTCTCCGCGGAAAGTGTTCGCGGTAAGAAATTTATCGGGAGGTGTATTAGCTAGTGCTGATTAGATGGCAGAACAGTTACGATAACAAACCGCGATAGAAGTGGAAAGAGGAGGATGCTCCACCCAGATCCTCAATGGCCTCTAGTTAAAAAAATCAGGTAATCACAAATAATCGAGTCGCAACAGATATCCTGAACGTTTTATTCGCAACCGAATACAGAAATCAATTTTCAGGTGAGGACAATATTGATTTTACATCGGTCGTTTGAATCATTACAGTAACCGATCGATCTTGCTGTTTCTGTAATATTTCTCTAATTCATATTGCGCATCCAGCAGGCGCTGACCGCACCTGTAGGAACAACTGAAAAGACATTGATTAGATTGGATGATTCCAATTGACATAGTTCATCGTGAACCTGTTAACGAATATCAAAATAGCTTCGGGGTAAATAATCTAAAACAGTCTTGTTCTTTTCCTTTTATTTATTTTAAATAAAACTGCACAGTTCGGATTCAAGAAATAGCTGCAGTTAATCAAACCCTTATTTGGAGAAATCCATAAAATGCTGTTCGAACACGGCCCCAGCCGTTGTTACGACGACCTTAACAACTAGGCTAATCTGTAGTTATGATGTGAACTTTAGCTGGTGGTGAGACATCTGCATTTCGATGAACAAGTCGATGAGTCCACTGCTGAACTTATCTGGCTCACTTGATTCAATGCTCAATGTACGTTTATTTTTTAAATAGAGGCATACTGTGAGTGACCGGGCTATGCGTTTTACCCTTAGGTATTTGGCTTGATTGTCAATTCAATGGACTAGATCTTCATTGCTACTCCTCACTTCTGTTTCGATGCGTTTCAGCCACCAAATCGTCCACTTAGAATTGGCTATTTCACATACGACGGTTCCTACACTGCTGTTCCGGCTGCCCAACGAGCAGTTATGCACATCAAATCGCGCTTGGAATCTATGGGCCACGAAGTGAGCAAGTCACTTTTGTGCCGTTTTACTTTCACTGTTGGTCTTTTTGTACTCAACAGAGACTGTTTTACATTGCTTGTGAGTTTATCCGCAATGCCTACTTATAACTTGCGCAAGCGGTGGTCACTATGGTTTAACTGGATAATTGATGGTGAAGTTTTGGAGATTGGTTGACCTCAATTTTCTTACCAATTTCCACAGTGTATAATGAGTGAACTTACCAAGTTTTTCATAACTCTCCGGTCATTTATACGGCCATTTCGGATGGTTTTGTGGTCAGGTTTAAAAACTTCCTTTCGTTCCTTCAATCTATTCCGAATCGACGCCTAGCATTCGCGAGAGGTAAAGTTGTTAATGCGAATAACGAAAGCCCGTTTCACGAATACAAGTTGCTCATCGAGTATGTTACGATTCAGTCGTCATCTGTCCAAATGATTTATCAAATTGGGCGAGTGAATGGATGCAAATTCTTGTTTAGTAATAAACTCTAAAATCCTTTTATTCGGTAAACCATTATGTAGTCAATCTCAGGAAACTTATTGTGGTCGATTCCGATGACCGACATGTGACAAACTGGTATGGAGATTCTTGTTGTTCAGCGACGGAATATTTGTACCGGATCAGTTTTTGCTCAGCTCAATAACGAAAACAGTTGGTATTACAATCGCTCACTGCAAAAAGCCTTCTGTTCTGAAAAAATACACCAGGTATGTAAAATATTGGTTACCTCCAATTCTACTCGATGATAGCCGCTTGCCACTGACTTTGAGTTCGACCACCTCAGGTTAATATATAATATAGTATGCAATATTTTTTATGTGGAGCTTGAACAAAAAATAAAAAACATCAGATTTGCGTACTGCATCTCACATTCTCGTGCATCCACGCAAAGTACAATACATGGGTGAGATGCCAATCGGCCTTCAAAGTGGAGCTCTCTCACCGTCTCTCTGTTTAACAAACCACAGACAATGAAAGCTAATCCGGAAATTTATCCATATGTCGTGCAGTATTTGGAATTCTCTACCTTTTCATGCTGTTTTGGCACCCACAGAGAATTATTTCAAGCACAAACTCGATGAAACATTATCATGTCCTAGATTTTGACATTCGTACTGGTACATGAAACAATAAAAACTTGTGAAATCCTTTATCTTTCTGTGATCTGTAAATCGATCCAGTTGTATGAAAAACCCTATGGGATAAGAAAAGAAACCGCTTGCGCGTATTTTGGCGTTGATTTCTATATGACCCCTTATACAAAGGTCCTGTAATTTTTGGCAACTTAGTAATAACCAGTTTCAGTTGGAACAACCATTGAGCTGAGACTGTCTTTCATGATCACATGATACACCTTAGTATTCACGTACGTAGATGCAGTGAAATGATCCAAAATACAGTAATACATCTTATCCCATTCTTTTCTCTGGTGCGGCTTTTTGTGTTCTATTCGTCTGATTTGCAGGACGAGTTCCACTTAACATTTACGAGGAAACCCCTTCCAGTACTTTCGCAATCAGATTACACTGTCCTGGGAACCAGATATTTGATTCAAACTGTTCAGAATTTTAAAGCCGCATTCTGCTATGTGGGCTCTCAATGAATACATCAGATCTGTTTGGTTTTGAATGAATTGTGTGCGTGCATGTGTGCGTGAATTAACCACGTTCCTCACCCGCTCCCCCTTTCCCTTATCTAGTCAACGAAATCGTTGGTGAAAAACTGCACACCGATAAGACCTTTATAGAAATAAACGCAGCGCACAATGTAATGGTTCGAGTTTTGTGTCAGAGCTTTTTACTGACTTCCATATCCTGCGTCCCATCTACATCCTGTTGACACAGTATTATCTTCGAACTAGTGCAGTACTCTGCAGCACTATGCTCATTTGACGACGGTTATTGTTTTCATTTAAGGGGCAATATTATGTTGTAATATTGCTTTGGTCGGTCCTCTTCGACAAGCATTTGTATTTTAATGTGCATAGTGGGCTTATCATAAATGCCTTATTGTGACAAAAGCTAAATGGATGTTTCCTAAAGATGATACTACTTTATTTGCAGTCTCGTCGAACTGCAACAGGATTATTAACTTTACTACGGCTAGTTTCTTGCGAGGAGGGAACAAGCCAGTTTCGTGAATCAATAATTAGGAATTTGGTGCAAGGCTCCAAGATAACTCGGGTTTTTTATTGCAAGGGTGCGCCTCTAGCCGTTGTGCAGCCAACAGCATCACTGCCGGAGCTCATGCGCCATTTGACTGTTAAGAATTTAGCCTAGGCATCCGAGAAAGCTTCCTGGTTTGACAGATTTCCTTTGTGGTCGTTTTAGCAGGCAGTAGATCTTGCACACCCATTCCTCATATCCCTTGTGGTCAACGATACATAACTCTGCTTCTTCGAGGTATAGCTGAAGGTCGGGTGATGGAAACCACAGCGGTGGAGGATACCTCAGGTACGTGACGGTCAAACAGCTCAGTGATACTACTTCTACCACCCCTGAAAGCTTTAGAAACGGACCTATCTAATTCCACATTAACGTTTTACAGTATCAAGACCCAAAGCGCGCGTAAAGAAATCCCCGTCTCTAATCTTTGGATTCAATATGGCTTCAAAACAACTCGGATTTACAATTTTCTACGCAAAGAAATTCACCATTCTAGGTCTCGAGGGTTAAGTCTCTGGTTCTCATACTCGAACAGTAGATTCCCGTGAAACTGGAGTTCACCTCTTCTGCGGTTTATCACACTGTACGTCATGAAGAACGAGTTCAAGGCAGTTGATTTTGTTGATGATAGTTTACGTGTTGAACCCTCTTCTTAGCTTCCGCGCGTTTGTTTACCTCGAGCTGGATGGTATGTTCAGCGATTGATTTGATTCATAACATCACGTGCGACGTAGTAGTACCTTATTTCAACTGTTTTCGCTTCATTTCTTTTATATATATGCTCTTTTTATCTGTACGTTTGGAGGGGTCAACATTTTGTTCGCCAGCGTTTGGGTATGACAACTGTCAATTTAATGCTTGGAACCTATATCGTTGAGTCACATCAAGCTTCAGTTAGACTGGTCTGCCGGTGCATCGTGCAGGACAAAAACAACGAGCTGCCTACTTACGTTCGATGACTACGTGGCTACAAAAGATCGATTCAGTCAATAAGGCATATGTTTTTTTCTAGGACGAAGTTAAACACGATCGAACAAGAAAATTATCTCTCAGTGTGTGAGTCTTCTTCACAGGTTGTTTTCCGGCCTACATAAAAAGAACATCCTTGTGTGGTCCTCAGCAGTCATTGGAGGATTATAACCGACTTCTTGTTTCCTCTATTATTTTTTATTGCAGTGAGTTTTAGAGTTCTCAAAAACTGACCAAATGTAACGGGTCTGTACTAGATTTGAAGATCGCCTTTAAACCCCTGCGATTCTGTCCATGCTGGGCAGGTGAGCAAAATAAAAGCAGAAAAATTAACGTGATGAGACGACGTATATGCATGAGGTTTAATGCAAATCAAAATTAACAAGATCCAATCACCAAGCCCTGTTGCCTGCTCTGATGTCGAGTACTAACTGAGGAAAACCTCGTTCCAAATGTATCCATTAGTGAAGCCAGTGTGTGGTGAAATGAGAAACCTCGAATGCTTTTGAGCAGAATACTGTTCATGTACCACTGGTGTTCCGTGGTACCCAGTTTACGTAAAAGTACCAGGGCTGAGCAAAACGTTTCCGGTTGCACGAAAAGTTCTATTTTTACACAAAAATAAGCATTACATTTTCTCAGTGTTTTCCGCAAGCTTTCATGCACAGTCCATGTGCTCAAACCATTTGGTTAAAAAGCTCGAACATGCCGAAGTGAATAACCCTTGAACCAGTTCCATGAAGACCTGCACTGCTGCTGTTGGTGACTCGTATCGAATTCCACGCATCATGCGCTTCACATTTGGGAACAGGATGATTCTTCAAGGTGCGTGATCACCAAAGGCAGCTCGCAAATGCTCAACAATCTGCTGCTTTACACCACATTTGTAGCCGTAGAAAATCATCGCCCTCCAATGAAATCGACTGAGTTTCATCCGTGAAGTTCGAGTATAACGACTTGTGAACTGTGCTGGGATGTTGGTGTTTCGTTCTGTGAGTTGCAATCAGTGAAAATTATTCACAATAGATTACAGTTCACGTTTTCCTTGTCCGGTAATCTGCACCTCATACGTGTACTGCGCATCAGGAAAATGTTTGCTCACACTTCGTATTAGTTCGTTTAACTCGGCATTCAGCTCGCTGAATTCCACCCGGAATGTATCCTTCCGTCTTCTGAACTACGATTCATAGGCACGAAATTCGGCCATGCTGGCCGCAAACAAATCCGCCGAGTTGGACTGAGGGACAATACTAAAATAAACTGTCGGTGCATCGTGTTCATCAGCGTCAAACGCGTCGCCTCAAATCGAGCGCTCACTTCCGAACAGTCGTGACACTGTGATCAAGCTACTCAGTGCTTGGATGAATTGTTCTGTAACGCACACTTTACTAGGACAGCAATATGTCAGTTTAATTTTCATCTCATTATAAGCTCCCTGAAAGTCTTAAATCAATGGTGTGGTTCTCCGAACCAGATCGCAAACATAAAAACTTTTTTCTCCCTCAAAGTTTTGATTCTAGGGTGGATGGGAAAACGAAATAGTAATAATTTTTTAAGAGGCTTCATCTTAGGTCGCGCAATATGCAAGTTCCGGTCTCCGGAGGTAGAACCGAGTATCTTTTTCGTCATTTCTGATGCCACGGTTATTCACGGTCACCTATCGGTCTCGAAACCATCACATTTAGCCTTCCCAAAGCTCAATCTAACAACCATAGTAAATATGCGCTCAACTCCCTCTTCCGTTCATTCTGATTGATTTTTGTTTGAAATTTGCAAATCCGCATCCATTGATACCACCCCCAAACCCCCCATAACATTTTGCCTATCCAATAACCACTCATTGTGGGTAACTCAAACGTCCATTCTCGATTCATTACAATTACTTTGTGAACGTTTTTCACTGGAGACAATCGTCGAACCAAAGTCTGTGCGGAAATTTCTCACCGGACACTCATTAAGAACTTGATCATATCCGGAAAATGACGTTGTGTTCAGAGTTGGTGAATGTTAAACTTTTTCCTTTACGTGTGTAACTCCAGTTGAGCATGTTTACGGATGTTGTCATTTGGGCCGGGTTTACTCAATATAACTCCCGAAACCGCAGATTATTTAAGGTCATTCATTCCTGATCATTGAGTTCACTTGACATTCTTTTGTGATCAGTTTGACGTGCGTTTCGTTTGTCAAATGTGCCTTCTGGCTTCACAAATCCTCATTGGAATTGAAAGGAAATCGAGGTTTTGAATGTTATGAACACGACAACCCAACCAGGGTGACTTCTTACCGAACGCTTTCAACATCGGACATTGAGTTAGCTTTTGTCTTGCGAGTCGAAAACAGCGATGCAGTCAGTTTAAAAACTCAAACTCTGATAATTCAATTTTTATGGGTAATTTACAAAGCTGAGGCTTATCAAATACCGTAGACATGTTCCTGTGATAATATATCTGCATAGTATGTCCGTATTTGTTCTTTGTCGAAAAATAATTCTTGGACCTACTTAAATTTCATTCAGGTCATCTTCAAGTCTCATAGTGTCATGTGCGAAAATCGGTGGCCTGTCAACTTCGCACTCCGGTCTTGAATTGAGTTATGTCCATAACTGAGGACAAGACACTCGTGTCAAATTCACATTTTTCATACCTTCCAGCCATTTGACTTATAAATCATATGCTTATCCGTTTCCCCACCTCTATCACCAGCTCGTACTCTGGCAGCCACCTTACACCGGCAGTGAGTGGTTCGAAGTTTTTCTCACCGCTCTATTCGTGGATGGAGGATCGCGTCTGGTGGAGCTCTTGGAACATGACGAGGTGGAGCGATCAATGAGAATTGGTTTGAAGATTTACAAGTCGTGGCGAATAACTCGTCAGATCAATTGGTTGCTCACCAAATTGGTAGGTAATGTATCATGTTTACTCAAAGTATTGCGGTACCATAGAAAGATCTCACGATTGTATTGTGCCTCAATGCGTAAAACGTGATCAAAGGCATTTTGGAAAAAGGCTTTTCCGAAATTTCTTTTTGATATATTTAATTGGTTGGTTGCATTTATAGAATAGGAGTACTGACATCTCGTTGAATGAATGCAACTTATTTTGTCAAGAGTCGCGCGTAGGAAGACTATAGTAATATTCAATCATAGGGGAAGTAGAAGGTCAAAGGTCAAATGGAACTCAGTGCAGAATAACGGTGGACGAAGAGGTGCACTGATTGATAAGTTAATTAGCGTCGTCAACCTATATTATTTTTCTCTCTTACTCACATTGTTCAGCTCGCGACGCGTATCAACATTTTAATTAGTATTCTGCACCAAATTCCATTTGATCATTGGTCTCCCACAATGTCCTGTTTCGTTTTTGATGTCACTTAAGGAAATTCGGGACTGACAAAGAGTGACCTCGAAAAGTGCATGTTCCGAAGTCACGAAAAGTTGGATGATTGATCAGTTTGGGACGACTAATGACGAGATGCGTTTTGAGGGTTTTTCACGCAGGAAGTCGATGTGGACAATGAATATCAGCCTAGCAGATCCTTTCGATCACACCCACCCTCCCAGTGGCTCGGATGAGATAGAACACCTTACGGAGACTTCCCATGGTGGCAGCACATTCCGTCTCTGATGCGCGTTAAGATCACCAGATTTCGCGGTCTCTGCATAGGCTTGTATTAAGTTCATGTCATGTAACGAGTCTTGTTTCAGTATGCTCACTGCCGTTCGGCATTGATCGGTGTGCGTCTAGAAGGCGTAGAGATTCCAAAAAAAGTCCAGGGTGTCACGGCATGATGTGTCGTACTAAAACTAAGCCAATAGAATACAAGACATTTTTGATAAGCGACCAGTTCTGATTGATGTTATCGGATAGGGCTGGTTCTAGCTTTTCAGCTTGCGTGTTTTTAAAGACAGTTGGACGAGCTGGTTGGGACAGTTTATCACAATCTAACCGTCGTTGTGTCGTGCATTTGGAACGCCCACCGAAGCACATGGACAGCTTGACGCAAACTAATGCGTGCTCGGATTCGATGAGAATGCACCAGTACGTTTGGCAGTCTTGTATGCAGCCCCACCATTTGCGGCCTATACCGATGTGGTCGATCTACGTTCATCGCTGAATTGAGGACGACACTAAGTAGTGTGCCGGCAGTGAGATCGTCTGAAATTCGTATTGGTGAGGAATAGGCAGTGGTCGGAACATACAGCTAACAGCCGTTCCGAGCACGTTGTTTGGTGAAAGTATATTTTTGCCATTCACTTTTTACCTCTTCCGCATTGCCCATTTGAGTCATTTATTACATATCGGTATATAAAATCCAAACGCCGGTAAAAAATCTCTTTTTGGTTGAACTGTTAAAATGGATACTTAGTTGAACTTGGTAAAAAACTAGTCGTTCCTGTTATGAATCTAAATCTCAGAAGCCACAGAATACTTTCAGCTTACGTTCAACAGAACTGTATTCTACAGGGGGCATCTCACACCAGTTAACCGTTTTTTCACAATGTAGCCGATCACGGATGATGTCCGGCAATGTCTAACGACATGCGAAGTTGGAACCCGACACACGATCTCTCTTGTAACGAACGCTCCCAATTCAAATGGTGAGCACTGTGACGCGTGAACCCATAGTATG